ATAATATAAGCCTCTCAGAAGTGGGGTGAGGGTTGAATAAAACAGTACGTGAGTAGTTCAACACAGAGACGGGCACAGACATGATAGTCAAGAAAGTAGTGATAGAAGCAGCAGCAGAGAAAATATTTTGAACAGCTGTGTGCAATCTTTTCACCTCTTTATTCACAGCAACTCATTTAATTGCTACAACAAATATGTAAGATAAGTACTTTTTTTTTTAAGACGGAGTTTTGCTCTTGTTGCCCAGGCTGGAGTGCAATGGCGTGAACTTGGCTCTCTGCAACCTTCGCCTCCAGGGTTCAAGCGATTCTCCTACCTCAGCCTCCCAAGTAGCTGGGATTATGGGCATGTGCCACCACACAAGGCTGATTTTGTATTTTTGTAGAGACAGGGTTTCTAAAAGTTGGTCAGGCTGGTCTTGAACTCCTGACCTCAGGTGACCCACCCATCTCAGCCTCCCGAAGTTCTGAGATTACAGGCATGAGCCATTAAGGTAAGTACTTTTATTATTTCCATTGTTTTTGACTGAGTTGTGCTACTCTCTTCGATTCATATGTTGATGTCCTAAACCCCAGTGCCCTATGATGTGACTGACTATATTTGAAGATACGGTCTTTACATGGACAATTAAGTTAAAATGAGGTCATCAAGGTGGGCCCTGATCCAATATGTCTGGTGTCCTCATCAGGAGGTTATGACACAGACACACACACAGGGAAAACCAGAAAAAAGATACAGAAAAAAAAAAATCATTATCTGCAAGCCAAGGAGAGAAGCCTCAGAAGAAACCAACTTGACAAATTTTAAAAGATGTCTTTTGGAGAACAAAATTGTGTTAGAAAATATGTAGAACAAAAAAAAAAATTTCTTCTAGAACTGAGTTGGTCCAAAAGTGCATATCTTCCTAAGACTCTGTGAGGAAAAGACCTAATCTGCAGAGAAGTTGTTGGAGCACTCATCTGTGTGTGGCCTGTGGCTCACAGGGACAGGTATTCTCAGAAAGCACATAGGAACATCACGGTCCTGGTGTGTCCGGGCTCTGGGAACAGGCTCTTCCACATGGCTTTCACATAGGGTTCTTGGTGGGCTATGTAGTCACTTTCTGCATCCTTTTTCTAAGGGCTCATGAATGTCAAAGTAACACAGACCCTGAGTAACAAAGTAACACCACTTCTCAAAGGTCCCCAAATATGTCTCCACTGCTGACTCACTCTTGGGTCTTCATCTACAACGGTCACTCTACCTAGAATACCATTTCTCTCTCTGGTATTCATCTGTTCTTGCAGCTGCCCTTTGTGCAGAGGGCAGCTGGCTGTGCAGTGCTGTGGATAAACCTGGTCAGAGAAGTGGGAAACTTTTATCGGAATGTTTTCAGATTATCAACCAGATCAAACGTTCTGGAATCCATAAGATCCAGGGCTGAGGATAAATTTAGTCTATTAATTACTCCTCTGAAGTTGGCAGCTTTGAAAAAGATGCCCTGAGTCAGCATAGTCATTCCAACCAAAAAAAGGAAAAAATCTCTTTCCCAATCTTAAATCATCCAGCACTAGCCAGACATCTGTATCCCTCTGCAGCGCAGCCTCTCAGGGCAGCCACATCCTCACCGAGTGGATATGTCAAACCCCTGGGGTGCAGCGACCTGCCCTACGAGCCCCCCACATGCTCAGGATGCCCCAGAGACCCCGGACCCTGATATTACTTGTTCCTTTACTATTCTCATTCTAATTACTCTCTTACGCATTTGGCCACAGATTTTTGGTGTGGTGGTTGTATTAGCTTTCTGTTGCTACTATACAAATTACCACCCATTTGGCGGCTTAAAACAATACAAATGTATCATCTTACAGTTCTGTACTTCAGAAACCAACATAGGTCTCACCCAGCCGATACCAAGGTGCCGGCAGATCTACTTTCCTTTCTGAAGGCTCTAGGGGAGAACCAATTTTCTTACCTTGTGGCTTGCTTTCTCTATCTTCAAAGGCAGCGTGTTCTGTTGCTCTGACCCTACTTCCATGCTTACAGCTCCCTCTAAACACTGCCGGGAAAGGTTCTCCACATTTAAGGACGTGCATGATTACATTGGACCCACCTGGATAATCCAGGACACGCTCCCTATCACAAGGTCAGCTCATTAGCAGCCCTAATTGCACCTGCAGCCTTAATTTCCATTTGAGATCTAACCGAACATACTTACGGGTTGCAGCGATTATCAGCACTTGGGCATCTTTAAGGGCCCATTCTGCCTACCACTGTGATATTCCACTAGAGGGCACTAACATATTCCTGTAATAGAAACATTAAAATGCAGATAATGGTGGGAGGGAAAGTCTGATAAAATTGAATACTGTATTATCAATTTTAAAAAGCCATAATATATAAATATCTCTCATTGGGGTCTTTCAAAAGTTATCATATAGTACAAGAAAATACATAGACTGGAATGACTTTCTCAGAACTGAAATGGCCTGAGCATCAGTGAAATAGAATCTGAAGTGTGGTGAGAATTCTATAGAATACCTGGGCTCAAAATCATGCGTAAAAAAAAAGTTGCTATATATTTAAAGGGACAAAGCATAGGTTCTCTTACAAGGGTTTTTAAGAAACAGTTCCTCAGTTTAGTAGGTGTAAGCTTAATTGCTTTTGTCAGGATACTGTTGCCCCGGATGGGTGAATGAGCAGTCTCTAAAAGGAGAAGAAAGAGAGCAAACACCGAAAAAGTATGAAGGAGAGGAAGGGACGGCATGGCGGAAAATGAAATGCTTTCCATTAAAATGCAAAGATGAAAGGAGATGTTGCCGGGTGCCCAGCTGTCTAGAGGGCTCTGTTTGCTTTCCGTTCCTGCTGTTAGGAACACAAGAGTCTGCCCTGCATTAGGGAAGTGGAATAGAGTAAGTTTCCAAAATTCTTAAATGTGAGGGAGTTGGGTAGAAAAGATGAGAGGGAATGTCGCAGGGAGGAGGGGTGACAAAGTCAAACAATGGCTGCTGCTCTCAGGCTATTGGGGCCTCGGGTTAACCGCATCATTTTAGTGCCTTTAGTTAATGTAGAAAAGGAAGAGAGAACAGAATGGCCTCAGAGTCAAAGGAACAGGGAGGGAGAAGCCACATAGCTGATGGGAGTGAATTAGTAGAGGGATAGAATATAGAATTAGCTACCTCCTAAATCTTAATAATATGAAAAGAGATTGGGAAAATTATAATACTCTGAAGTGTAATTATGCACCTCTCCGACTTTGAAACCCCCACAGCATGTGGGGAAATCCAATATCCACTAAGAGTGAGCTTAGGTATGTGGGTGCAAGTAAATTGTGAAAGATTTTGCTATTTGGGATGGCAAAGTTTACTAAGTAACATGTAACTATTTATTTGCACTGGGCTTTTAGAATGAAAGCTGTTTTCCCTGTCTCGAGAACACCCGAACTCACAGCTAGGATACGGAGGATTTGCCAGGACAATGCAAACACCTATAGCTGAAGTAGAACCAAACTCTCTCCCTATATTTCTTTCCAGAAAGGAGTGGTGCAGAAATAGAAAAAGAGAGAATACTCCTCCTTAGATCAGAGTTAAGGTCCTGATAGGAATGCCTCCATCCTCAATGCATGCAATGGAAACTGTTAGAGCTGCACCTCTCACCAGGAAGGGGTCTGGGGGCAAGGAACTCATCTCTGAGGTTTGAGGGTAGCCCTGAAAACTGGGAGGGGGACCCCTTCTTGTCTGGAGATGATAATGATTTGGCAAAACAATGACGGGTTCTGTGAGGCTCTACCTGTATTAGGAAGCCAATGGGAAGAATGAGCTAGCCTCCTTCCATTCCACCATCCAAAAATACATTGGTTCCTACAAAGTACAAGGAGTCAAAAGTATACATGTGTCAAAAATCACACTGAGCACTGTAAGTGTATACTTAATTTTAAAAATTAAGAAAAGCTCAAAGGTGTTTCAGGAGCAAGACGTTCTGGGGAACTCTAGGAAAGACACCTCCATGCAGGAAGAACATACTTAGGCTAAAAAGAGAGCAGTACCAGCAGCTTCTGGAAGAGCTAAGAGGAGCTTGACACTCCTGGGCCCAAACATTGCTTGGCTACGACACAATATCCGGGGACAGAAACCTTCCATGTGCAGCAAGCTGTGGCGTGGCAAGAAAGCAAAGCACACACCAAAAGCAGGCAGGAAGCCGAGCTGGCTGGTGAGACTCTGAGGTTATTGCAGGAAGCAGATGTTGCCTCTGTCTTTCACCAGCTTCTTCTGGGGAAGAAGAGGGAAGGAGAAAAGAAAAAAGGTGCTCCAGATGCCATCGTTGGTGGAAGCAGCGGCTAGCTCTAGCGACGATGACTAAGTCAATTTTGCTAAAGAGCAAAGAAGCTGTGTGTCTTGGATTTTAAACAGCATGTAGACTAGCAAACTAATCCATGTGAATCTGAGACTTTATACCTTAGGCTCTTTTAAAAGGTAGTGACTAAAAATCTATACCAGTGGATAAATGAAGTCAGGGATATACTTGTAATTTTTTCCGCCAGAGTAGAAATGACTTCCAAAAATATGATAATGCAGCTTTCATGTAATCCCAGCTACTTGGGAAGCTGAGCCAGGAGAATTGCTTGAACTCAGGAGGCGGAGGTTGTAGCGAGTCAAGATCACACCGCCGCGCTGTAGCCTGGGTGACAGAGTAAGACTCTGTCTCAAAAAAAAAAAAAAAAAAAAAAAAAAGATGATGTAGCTTTCTATAGCATAAGCTTTATGTTCTCACACTTCTAAGTGATAATCAAATGTGTTATACCACTTTATACCCTGAGATCCAAAATACACAAATATTTGACAATTTGTACAAGACTGTATTAATAAGAAAATGTGGCACATATATAAAGGGAAGCAGCCTCACACAGATTAAGGAAAATGACACTGATTACAAATGTCCCCAGCCTGAGTTGGCTATGTTGCCTTTGTACACTTCAGCCCTCTGAGCTGCAGTGGGAGTGGTTTCTCTCCTGAAAACGTCTCTGAGGTCCAAATAGCTGAAGAGGTGGAGACATTACAGAAACCAACTGGAGCCCCCAGAACTGGCAGACACCTGCCTGATGATGCCATGGGCTCCCAGCTTCTTGGCTATGTGGTCCTTTGGCTCCTAGGAACAGGTGAGTCCCAGAACACATGGGCAACTCTTGGCCTTATTTTGTAGATCTCAGCCCAAGGCATCTCCTAAAGGCTTCAGCACTGGAGATCCCCTTCAGCTCTGCCTCTAACTCTGTCTCCTTCCTTTACAGGCCCCTTGGAAGCCCAAGTGACCCAGAACCCAAGATACCTCATCACAGTGACTGGAAAGAAGCTGACGGTGACTTGTTCTCAGGATATGAACCATAATTACATGTCCTGGTATCGACAAGACCCAGGGCTGGGCCTAAGGCAGATCTACTATTCAAATAATGTTGAGCTGGTTGATGAGGGAGATGTTCCTGAAGGGTACAACGTCTCTCGAAAAGAGAAGAGGAATTTCCCCCTGATCCTGGAGCGGCCCCGCCCCGACCAGACCTCTCTGTACCTCTGTGCCAGCAGTTTATCCACAGCGCTGCACAGCCAGCTGCTCTCTGCACAAAAACGGAGGGCAGCTGCAAGAACAAGAAGATTCCTCCTTCAGGAGACCCTCTCTGACCAACAGGAAAAACTTCCTCCATCATCGCACAGAAGCTCTTCCCCACTCCCCAGCCTCAGGGACTCTGCAGTGCAGCTGCTCTGCAGAACCAGGGGTCCATCCTCTACCTGCTGTACCAATGAGCTTTCAAGGTTCAGCAGGACAAGCTAACTGCGTTAGGCCTAGTGCCAGGGTACACTCTCCAATCCTTTCTTCTTGTGGAGCTTAAATCTTTAAATTCGACTAAGCTATTGCCCAAACTGAAGACTCCATTTCCAATCTAATGGCTCTCAACGATATTCGGTCCTGTATTCCAGGTCCTATTCAGGAGGTTTTGTCACTTGGAGGAACACCATGTTTGGGGTTATTGACGAAATCCAACACCTCCTATTTTCTTCCTCTCAGCAGACGGTCCTACCATCCGTCCAAATGCCCAAGCCAGAGACGCAGGACTGATCTTCACCGTCTCTCTGACTTTCTCCTTCCATACCAAATCCACCACCCCCCCATCCTGCATTTTTCTAAGTACTAAATTCCTCAACAATTTTAGTAACTTTTCTAACTTCACTGATCTCACCTGGATTCCTTTAGCCACCTTTCAAGTAGCCGCCCTCTCTGCAAGCTTGCGACCTGCCCCCACCTACAAACACTCCCTCAAGCTTAAAACCCTTTGACTTATTTCTATTAACTAGCTAAAGTCGCAAGTTCATCTTAGTTTGCAAATCCCTCAGCCCTCTCCATGATGTGACCTTTGCACACCCGCCCACCAGTCTAACGCTGACTTCCCCATCCTTCAAGTACCACAAGTGCCTGCATCTACTCCAGAAATTTTCCACTTCTCACAGGTCCCCAAATATGTCCACTGCTGACTCACTTCTGGATCTTCATTTACAACGGTCACTCTACCTAGAATATCATCTCTGTGTCTGGTATTCATCTGTTTTGCAGCTGCCCTTTATGTGCAGAGAGCAGTTGGCTGTGCAGCCCTGTGAAGAAACTCGTGGTGCAGACATACAGAGAGGTCTGGTTGGGACTGGGTGACTCCAGGATCAGGGGGAAATTCTCCTTCATAGACCAATTTAGAAGTCACTTCCTCCAAGACTATTTCCTTGAATCACTGACTGCGTCGTTTCTCTGCTGTGGGGTCTTGTAACAGCCTGAACAGAGCTAACACCAGCACTGAGACACCACCATGAACTCACCAGCCGTTGACTTCTCTGTTCTATAGCTTTTTATCTCCTTGGAATAGGTAGGTCACGGGTAGAGGTATGATGTCCTTGAACCTGGTTTGCTGGAGCCTACATTAAGCCTTTTCCTGGTGGTTACACATCAGGATATTTCCCACATTCTCTCTTTTTGTCCACAATGTCCATGAATGCTGGTGTCACTGAAATTTCAGTTTATCAAGCTTCAGAGTCAGAAAAGAAAGTTTTCTAATACAACCAGAATATGTTTTATGACCTATATGTGCTGAGCCAGACAAGAGCCAGGAATGAAGCTGCAAGTAATCTATTTCTCAGTTGGTGCTTAGAGAACAAACAAATAGAAAGTCTCTAATAGACCTGTGTCTCTTGAGATAAGACTGAGCATTTCTTACAACCTCCAGACATCCAGCCCTTCGCAGCCCTCCCGGCTGTTAACCTGCAGCACTACACAGCCACTTCCTCTCTGCACAGAAAAGGCTGCCACAGGGAGAGATGGTCTTACCTTCCTGAGCCTGCCCTTACCAGAGGAAGCCACTGCCACCACAGAAGCTCTCAGGAGCCTTTCCCATCCTTGCACTGAGACTTTCAGAGCTCTGGGAGCCCTGGTCTGTAAAAGTTTGTCCCCGGCCAGGTGCGGTGGCTCATGCCTGTAATCCCAGCACTTTGGGAGACTGAGGCAGGTGGATCACGAGGTCAGGAGTTTGAGAGCAGCCTGGCCAACATGGTGAAACCTCGTATCTACTGAAGATACAAAAAACTGGCCAGTCATGGTGGCGCTCACCTGTAATCCCAGCTACTTGAGAGGCTGAGGCAGGAGACTCGCTTGAACCTAGGAGGCAGAGGTTGCAGTGAGCCAAGATCAAGCCATTGCACTTCAGCCTGGGTGACAGGGTGAGACTCCATCTCAAAAAAAAAAAAAAAAAAAAAAAAAAAGTCCAACGCCAGGTAACAACGCACCTGTAGACTGAGCTGTCAATGTCCTCTTTCCCTTCGTTCTCATTTGCTGTCTCAACAGGGCTTCCTCAGCCTGGGCTCTTTATTAGAATTTACCTGCATCAATCCAGTACCCCCTCACACTACCTACTAGAGAAGGCTGCATTCTACGTACAGTCTTCCGGGGTCCTCTCCAGGGCCCCTTTATGTTCACCTGTGTGCCGGAGACAATTTGAATCTTAGTCTAACACTTTTCATTTAAGTAGGTCAGACTACACTATGCACTTACATATTTCGCCAGCAGAAGCTTTGAGACTTCGTGTCTTGTAAAATTAAAAAAAAAAAAACTGTAATAAAGATAAGAATGTTTATGGATGTAAAACTCTGTGTAAGCAAATAGTCTAGTAAAACTGAAGTTCAAAGGGTGTTTGTGTTGGGTAGCTGTGTTAGCATGCTTGATTTATGGTAAGGCCAAGTCTGTTGGATTAGATATTAGATGTTCACAGTAATGTCAAAACTGAGGAATATAGTCTGAATAATTATAACTATTTTATATTATTGCAAACAACTTAAAAACTATTGTATGACTACGATTGATGTGTATTGTGCGACTATGATTGATGTGTATTGTGCATAGATACAGTTTCAAAGAGTGTTTAGACCATTAGAACGTTTTAAGGAAAAATGTTAGCAAAATAACCACAAGTAACATGTTACTGGAAAATGTAGTATAAGCATTGCACTGACAATTGTATCTGACGCTTTTGTTTTGATCGGTGGTTCTCAATGTGTACCAGAATTACTTGGTGAGATTTCCTTGTATTGTGGGAATAACACTTAGCATGAAACCTAACCTTTAAACAAAACTAGTGTGCAGTATGATATAGTTAACTCTAGGGGTGATGTTGTATAGCAGATTTCTAGAATGTAATTATCTCGTATAATTGAAATTTTACACCAGTTGAATGGCAACTCAACACTACCCTCTCCCATTTTCCTGCAATCATCCTTCTACTCTCTGCTTCTATGTGTCTGACAGGATGCTGAGTTTAATAAGCCTGTCACAGAAGGACAGATGTTGCATTGAAGGAGTCTTTTATCACCAAAACTGTTTCGAATTTCTGGCACATGGTGATAATAAAAGCAAAATCGTTTCACTTGGATTTTATGATTATTTTCAAATGCTTTACGCCCTTTATGGCTTGCACCTGGGGCTAAACATCTACCTCTACCACCCCATTACTGGTCCACCACCATCTCCCCAACCCCATCAGGTAAACCTACACATGTGAGCACCCACATGAACGTACACATGTGGATTTGAACCAGGTTCAAACCCAGGCAGCATAGTTCCAAAACCTGCCCATCTAACCCATATGCAACTTGTAGTAATTATTAAGTATATTGTATGAGAAACTAAGACTGCTGTCAAGAAAATATATTTTGGAAATGAGAAGAGAGACAGAGAGAGAGACAGAGAGAGAGAGAGAGGGAGAGAGAGGACAGAAAATGGTAAGGTTTTGCTAATCACAGTTGGTCAGGAAAAAAAAATTACCTTCACTTTCAAAGACTGAGACTCACCAGAAGGATTCATGGGACCCGGCGTGTCCTTGTACCCATAGCAAAGATGTGTTACAAGGATGTAGTAAGAATACTATGATCAAAAGGAACAAAGACATGGTGGGGTTTGAAGAAATTCACGAGACGTCCTCATGTGCTCTGCTCCCCCAAGAGAGCACAGTCTCATCCCAACACTGACAATGCAGCAACGTAAGAACAACATTTCTGCCCAGGGAAGCTCATTAGAGACTCAGCACCTCCAGAACTTTTGGTGGCTGGTGTTAGGAACTGAATTGTGTCATTAAATATTCACATGTTGAAATTCTAACCTCCAGTACTTGAGAATATGGCTATGTTTGGAGATAAGGATTTTACAGAAGTGGTCAAGGTTAAATGAGGTCTTTACTAACATGACTGGTATCCTTTTAAGAGGAAATTAGGACACAAACATGCACAGAGGGACAGCAATGTGCAGGCACAAGGGGAAGCCATCTACAAGCCAAGGAGAGAGGCTTCACGAGAAACCAACCCTCCTGACACCCCGATCTTGGACATCTACTCTCCAGAAGTGTGAGAAAATAAATTTCTGTTGTTTAAACGACTCGGTCTGGGGTGACTTATGGCAGCCCTCACAAAATAATTCAGCTGATCACATCAGCACCCTCTGCCTATCATGCAGCAGAATTCCAGACTTGAAGTGAAGCAGGTGTTCGGCCTAACCCACGTGGTTTGTGCAAGCAGTCTAGGCACAGTAAGCCACGCTTACCAGTTACCGATGGTGGGAACACTCCCCAAATTCAAGTTCACAGATGCAAATCAAGAGCCAACCATGCAAGCTGGCCCTTCTAAGGACAGCGGTCTCAGGCCCACTGTGTTAACTCTTTTCTATATGTGCGCGCGTGCACACACACACACACACACACACACAGTGACAATTCCATGAGAACAAGGGATGCCCTTCACTCTCTAGCACCTCTATACCTTTTCTAGCCTAGACAATGCCTGAGGGATTATGAGTGTGGGCTGGGACAATGACATCACAGACCATCAACCCACAGCCTGGCCCTGGGAGAAGACCTATTCTTTCTTCAGAACAGCCATGGGAATCAGGCTTCTCTGTAGTGTGGCCTTTTGCTTCCTGGGAGTAGGTGAGTCCTGGGAGTAGCTGGGTCTGGGGAGTTGGTGGCAACCCCTGTCCTGCTATTTTGAGACCTTGTATACAAAGCTATTTTTCTCCTCAGGCTTCCTGGTGGCTTTTTTTTTTTCACCCTTGCTATCTGTCTCTCACAGGCCTCGTGGAAGTGAAAATAACCCAGAACCCGAGATATCTAGTCAAAAAGATGGGAGAGAAAGTTTCTCTGGAATGTGCCCAGGATATGGACCATGAAAGAATGTTCTGGTACCGACAAGACCCAGGTCTGGGGCTACGGCTGATCTATTTCTCATATGATATTAAAAACGATGAAAAAGGAGATGTTCCTGATGGGTACAGTGTCTCTAGAGAGAAGAAGGAGCAGTTCATCCTGATTCTGGGGTCTGCCCGCACCAACCAGACATCTGTGTATCTCTGTGCCAGCAGCCCATCCACAGCGCAGCACGGCCACATCCTCTCTGCACAAAAAAAGCAGACATCGGAAAGAAGAGCCCCTAACTCAGGACTGGTGCTGGCTCCAACAGCACATTCGTGATCAATAGAAAAAAGGGACCTCTAAAGAGAAACTAGCTCCATAAGCACATTTCTTTGCAAGGAGAAAATGAGGTATTATTTCTCACCCCTTTACAAGTCAGGGACTGTTCTAGATTTAGTCCTCCCAATCCAATGTGTTGTAAATTTCCGAGTCCCAACAAGGAGAAGTCCTCTTGCATATTCACACTTAGCCTGGTTCTACCATTTCTTTAATTAATGTTACCTTCCCTTTTCTATCCTTGTCTCTCTTGCTGTGCATTTTCTACTTTGCTTAGTGTTTTCCTCTTGGTTGATATTTCACTAGAGGACATTAACATATTCCAGATTCTTTAGATGATTCTTACTGTCCATGTGCTGATTCAAGAGAAAGTTTATGGAATTTGAATTCCGTTATTCAATTTAGAAAGAGAAAAACTGATTAAAACAAATCTTCCTCCAGGTTCTCTGATCAATCTTATTTTGCTGGGAAAAATTCTGATCACAGAAGGTTCAAACTACGCTGCAGAAGCTGGAGGAATTAGGCTATAACTATACTCACTATCTTCTGGAAAAAGTGTGTATTTGTCTGTTTTTAAGAATAAAACACATACTCTTCTGCCAGTAAAAATTAACGGTGCTTTGGAAATACAAGTAAATGTAAAGGGTATTAGAAATCCCAAACTGCAGAGCACTTACACAATTATTATTGGCAAGACAAAATAGGCATGTGAAAACGTATTTTGATTCAGTGCTAAATTTTTAAGTGGAAGAAGTCAGAGAAAAAAGTTAAATCAATATGTATCACAATATTCAAGATTATGTTTGTATGAGATAGGACTTGAGCTGATTTTGAATACAAGTAAATGAGGGAAGAGAAACTACTGAAAGGAAGAAATACCCTGCAATGTTTCCGTGAGAGATTCTACGGGAATGAAGAGGAAGATTCTTTCCCTGAGAAAAGGCAGGAATCACAATTCTCCTGGCTGAGGTCAACATTCAGAACGGAGAAAGCACATCTTCCTAAAATATCATTAAATCCTTTCTCTTTTGCCCCAAGGATACAAGCTAGCGGTGCTTCAGGCTGCAGCGTTTACCATGAGATAACATACAAGATTTGATAGAAGAAATTCTTTCACCACCTTCTAAAAATTACAGTCCTTAACTACTACATCCTGTTCAAGAAGGAGAATTCTGCGCACTTGATTAGCCATACAAGCTTCAGACTGACATTGATTAAAAGGGTGCTGAAAAAACATCACGACCCAGGACAGCAACGTCTCTGAGGTCGTCCATGCTCTGATGATGTCACACCTCTTTGCCTGTCTGGAAGAGACTTCCCCAAGAGCATTACCACCAACATCAAAGAAACAAAACGCAACGGGTCATTGCAACTTTTGCTGCTTGCCCGTGACAAGGATGGCAAGAAGATCTGTAGAGAAAGGCAATGTTTTCATGTGGAATGTGATGTTCCGATTTCTGTTGTTCTGTGCTTTGCAATTTTCCCCCATAAAAAATTATCGAATATTGATTATTATATATATTTCTGTTACATTAGGATTGGAGACAGCTCTGTTTAGAAATAACTCCAAAAACAGTTTTTATATTTTATTTTCATCTTGATAATCAGTCAAATTTGCTTCAGCCTCAAAGAGCATGTTTATGTCAAACTAAATGAATGCTGGCAGCGAGCTGCACTTTTTTTACTAAACAGGAAAAGGGTTAAATAACAGAACACCATGTCTACAAACTTTATATTCAGTGAACCTTCAGGGTTTCTGAGAGTCCTACATTTTCCCATAGATTTCTTATAGCAAGTATTGCCCAGACTCCGATCAACTGCAAGAGACGGGAACAGGTACCAGCACTGTGTGTCCATTCCCAGGGCTATGTGGGGCCATTTCCATCATGTTGGTCATCACCTCAGTTGAGTCCCTGGTAGAAAGAGTGCTATGCCAGACTCTTCTGGCATGGTTACCACCTGCTCCCTTCAACACAGCCTCACTTTGCTAAGTAAATGTAGCCCAGGGAGAGAGGAATGGAAAATAGGCAGAAATGGAGTATCAAACAATAGAGTGAGTAACAGAAGACATCTAAAGTGGGCAAAAGGATTATAGATTGGGATAGAAGATTTGAATTTAGATAAACAAATGAAAAAATGTTTACTAGGGGGAGTTCAAAGCTCACAGAATAGACGTTTAAAGGTATGTAATTGATCACAGATGTTTACCATGAGGGTACAGAGAATAATTCAGAAAATGTAAACCATTATTTCACTAAACATACATCACATTAGGAGGCCAACAAATTCACAGAACATAAGAATCGCTACTCTAAATCTGCAAGTAAGCAATTTTTAAAAAATTTTTACTTAGTTTTACTTTCAGTTCTGGGATACATACGTGGAACATGCAGGTTTGTTACATAGGTATACATGTGCCATGGTGGTTTGCTGTTATCTATCAACCCGTCATCTAGGTTTTAAGCCCCATAAGCATTAGCTGTATGTTTTGATGCTCTCCCTCCCCTTGCCCCCAACCCCTGACAGGCCCTAGTGTGTGTTGTTCCCCACCCTGTGTCCATGTGTTCTGACTATTAAACTCCCACTTATGACTGAGAACATAGACGGGGTTTGGTTTTCTGTTCCTGTATTAGCTTGCTGAGGATGGTGGCTTCCAGCTTTATTCATGTCCCTAGAAAGGACATGGTCTCATTCCTTTTTGTGGCTGCATAGTATTCCATGTTGTATATGTGTCACATTTTCTATTCCAGTCTATTATTGATGGGCATTTTGGTTCATTCCATGTCTTTTAAGCAATGTTTTAAATTATGTGATTTGGGAAAATAAAAACAAAATAAATTATTTTTTTGTTGAACAGGAGTATTATCAGAGCTCTTTGCTGAGACACGGCTGGGAAGAGGTATAGTCTCCTCCTGCAGGGAACAAGGAAAATTTAGAGAAAGAAGCATTTCTTTTCTCTAGAGAGCACTGGGTAATCACAGGTAGTTTATACATATAACATACAACAGTCCTGACATACAGGCATTATTTTCTCCTAATTAAAAATACATTTAAATAAGCTAAGTGTAATTAAACCTAAATTTAAATGACTTGCCTATAGCCACATAGCTGAAAAGTTAGTGGAAAAGGCATGTTTCTATATTGTTTTTTAAATAATAAGATAATTGAATCCAAGATAGATAAATCTCCGTCCTCATCTGAATGGGTCCCAAATCCAACCATTAGGGCAAAGATGTAGTCCACACAGCCAGAGAATTGGACCTCCTTCCTTTGGACCAGCAGGATAGCCACAGCACCAAAGACATTTTTCATGTCTTAGCACAAACTTCTAACCACCTCCATTTTGAAGTAGATGGATGAAGGCTTAAGAGTAGAAACTGGGTCTTGTTAGTAATGGACAAGTGGACACAGTCATATTAATTGTTTTACAACATTCTTTGATAATCCCTGTTAATCCAGCTGCAGATGTACTGTTTCATCATTTATCTTCCATGTCCCCATCCCATCATAAGATTAATATTGAAGGCTTTGTAAAATTAAATTACCTCAATTTCCAGTATCCTCCTAATTGACCTAGCCAATTTTGTATGGCTTGAAAAATTGGGAAATGTCTTCTTGTCTGTGCTAGATCTTCTTCAATTAATGTCAATTCATTAAAACAGAAATAGCAAGAAACTAACAGTCAAAGGGGTTTCTTCATCCCATTATTCCCTATAAAAGGCAGTGACAGGTACCTAGATATAACATAGATCTCTTCTGCCCTCTGTTAAGGACATCAGAACTGGCTCAGTTCACTCAGACATTGGTGGCAGAAAGTTGAGGGAGAGTTCCTGTATGCTCAAGCTTTTGGTAGAATCAACTGGTACCTGTTCTATCCAATGGATGCTGTCTTATTTAACTTGGGACACTGAAGGGGTACTATTCACTAATGAAAACATCAAAAAGCAAGCCATAAGATATCTTTAAAGAGAGAGAAAATGTAATGAAGGATGTGTAATCATTGCATAGTGTATCACTCTGTTTTCACACTGATGACAAAGACACACAAGAGACTGGGAAGAAAAAGAGGTTTAATTGGACTTAACAGTTCCACATGGCTGGGGAGGTTTCAGAATCATGGCAGGAGATGAAAGGCGCTTCTTACATGGTGGAAGCAAGAGAAAAATGAGAAAGAAGCAGAAGGGGAAACCTCTGAGAAACCCATCATATCCATCATATCTCATGAGACGTATTCACTACCATGAGAAAGCATGATTCAATTACCCCCCCTGAGTCCCTCCCACAACATGTGGGAATTCTGGGAGATACAATGCAAGTAAAGTTTTGGGTGGGCACGCAGCCAAGCCACATCATTCTGCCCCTGTCCTCTCCAAATCTCACGTCCTCATGTTTCAAAACCAATCATGCCTTCTCAAGAGTCCCCCAAGGTCTTATTTCAGCACTAACCCAAAAGTCCACAGTCCAAAGTCTCATCTGAGACAAGGCGAGTCCCTTCTGCCTATGAGCCTGTAAAATCAGAAGCAAGCTAGTTACTTCCTAGATACAATGGAGGTACGGGGATTAGGTAAATACAGCCATTCCAAATGGAAGAATTTGGCTAAATTACAGCCCCCATGAAAATCCAAAATCCAGCAGGGCAGCCAAATTTTAAAGCTCCAAAATGATCTCCTTTGACTCCAGGTCTGACATTCAGGACATGCTGATGCAAGAGGTGGGTTCCCATGGTCCTAGGCAGCTCCACTCCTGTGGCTTTGCAGGGTTCAACCTCCCTCCTAGCTGCTTTCACAGGCTGGCATTGAGGGTCTGTGGCTTTTCCAGGTACAAGGTGCAAGCTGTTGGTGGATCTACCATTCTGGGCTCTGGAGGACAGTGGCCCTCTTCTCACAGCACTACTAGGCAGTACCCCAGCAGGAACTCTG